CTGCTGGGACTGGTGGAGCTTTGTTGACATGGGTCAGGAGCAAGTCAGTTCATGATAATATTTTAAAACAGAAACACAGGTAGTGACGGCAGACTCAGTACAGCATGACAGTAAGTCTGAATGAAAGTAGACAGTAAAGTCTACCTTCAAATATTCAGTTTGTTTTAACAAGAGACTTAGCAGTACAAACAAAATGGAGATATCCAAGAACCAACCAAACTTTAGGGAAACAAATGTTAAATTATTTTATTTGGTTATTAAGGTTAGGTTTTGTTTTGTTTTGTTTTTTAAGGCAATTGGGGTTAAGTGACTTGCCCTGGGGTCACACAGCTAGTAAGTGTCAAGTGTTAGGTCTGAGGCTGGGTTTGAACTCAGGTCCTCCTGAGTTCAGGACCGGTGCTCTATCCACTGTGCCACCTAGCTGCCCCATAAGGTTAGTTTCCACAAAGGTAAATGCATCCATATTGCACCATGAGCTTTACCTGGGCTGTGAGAGTATCAAGAGCAGCCAGAGCTGATTCCAGGATTGGCAAGGCTTCGGCTAGGTCAGCATCACATTCATCCTTGATGGCTTTCGCAGCCATAGCTTGTTCATTTGCTACAGCTTCATCAGCTTTCACTATTTTTTCAGTTTTGGCAACTTCCATAGACTCTTTCTCGATCATCACCATCATCTCATCAACTTCCTTGCTAGCCACTTTCAGCAGAGGCTGCAGAGCTTCCAACTCAACCTGCATTGTGGCTACTTGTGACGCAGCAGAGTCCAGCTTCTCTAAGCCCACCTCATATCTCCTTTTCATTTTCATTACCTCACTGAAAGCAACCAGAAGAAAATAAGATCAGTTATACTGTAAGCTTTCTACAAATGTCATTCATCACTCCCGTTGTCAATTTACGTTCATAAAATATCATTTCAGTTACCCCTGAGTTTCTCAGTCTTTTGTAAGGTCACAAGATAATATATTTAGAGCTGGCCATTAAGTCTTCTACCCTCATTTTACATATACGGGAACCGAGTCCAAGAGAGGTAAGTGACTTGACCAGGGTCATACTGCTAATGTGACTGAGGAAGGCTCCAAACCCATGTCTTCCTGATTTCAAGTCTAGAATTCTAAATACTGCTGCCTCTCATAACTGTCTTTTTTCATTATTTTGTTTTTTTGTTTGTTGTTTTAACAACTGTCTTTTTCAAGGCAGCACATGATGGGCAATCTTTGAGATTTTCATCAACATTTACATAATCATTTTTCAAGGAGGAAATTATTTTCCATGACCTTTTCTTCAATCTTTCCATGCCTCTTTCTGGTTTGTTCCTTCTAAAACTCTTATTTGTTCTCTTCAGGACTTCCATCTAAAATCGATCTCCATTCTAACTCCACTCTTCATGGTTTTGATCAGTTTAATAAAGCATCGTCTTTTACCCTAGACTCATTCCATTGTCTCTCACTCACTTATCTCTTTGCCCTCTCCCTATTCAGTACTGCTTATTATTATACTTAAAGTCACCTATAGGGCTAGTCATGCTTTAGATCTCACCATCATCTCAAAATAGACCATGCCCAAGATCTTGAATTCTGAAAAGCTCCTCTCTGATCAGAATATCCTGCCCTTCTATTTCTCCCCCCTGCCTTACTTCTAAATATATTATTCACCTTTATTTCAAAATGAATAATTATATTTATTGAACTTTTCATTTAACTCACCTAACAATTTATAAAATGTTAAATCAAAGCAGCATGATAGAAGCCACACATAGGAGGGTAAACATTACATTATAATCTATGAGCTAAATAGTTATTTGTAGTAAATATATATACACAGGCAAATATATACATACGAGTTTAGATTATTTAACAAAGTAAAATTTTATTCTCACCTCCTTTTCTTTTTCAGTAAAGTTTTGAAAGTGGAGATTAATTCAAGATAAGAAGTAGGAGTCACATAGTTGTGCCTTTGAAGTTCAGAATGGAAGGATTCAGATAACTCAATAGTGGAAGTATGGAAGCTTTTACACATATCAATACAGCCATCTCGTGTTTCTTCTGACATTTCAACATCTTCTAAGAAGCGTGAGGCAACTGCCTGTAGTGCATCTTCAGGCCATGTCTAATTTTAAGATAAAAAATTTAGTACTTCATCTAATTTAAGAAAATCTTAACAAAATTCTTAATATTTTTCTTCCATAGAACAAATTTTAATTTTATTAACATTAATAATACTTGAGTTCCTGAATATAGTTATATTTTTTACTAAAAATTTAAATAAAAACTTTTATCAATAAAATTGGGGCAGCCAGCTGGCACAGGGAATAGAGTGCCAGGCCTGAAGTCATGTGTTCAAATGTGGTCTCAGACACTTACTAGCTGTGTGAACCTGTGCAAGTCACTTAACCCTGTTTGCCTCAGTTCCTCATCTGTAAAATGAGCTACAGAAGGAAACGGCAAACCACTTCAGTATCTTTGCCACAAAAACCCCAAATGGGGTCCCAAAGAGTCAGACACAACTGAAACAACTGAACAACAATAATTTCATCTAATATAAGAAAATCTTGACAAAACTCTCAATATTTTTCTTCCATAAAACAAAATTTAATTTCATTAGTATTAATGACACTTGAGTTTCTGAATATAGTTATATGAGTTTTTTACTGAAAATCTAAATAAATACTTGCATCAATATAATTAGTAATAATTTATGGATAAACATGTCTCTATTTTGATTGAAAACCTAACTGTAAGCTTATTTGTATTAGCAGAATTATTATTACTCAACTTTCTCTCTATGTAACAATAAATATATTCTTTTTATGGTATGGCTGGGTCCACAATTCTACTATATAGGAGGAAACCTTGGTGAAATTATTTGGCCTGTTTTTGGGACAATTCCTATTTGGAGAAGTGAAAGGGGGACTGGATAAAAAGGAACAAAACTGAATCTTAGTTTCTACTAGGGAATAGCACTTCTAGCAATAGGATGACTTGATAGATTAGGTACCCAGTGAGAGACTGCTGTTCAAGGAAAACATGGTTATAATCTTCAGAAGAATAAAAAGGATGGGGCAGAAAAAAATTCATGCTTTTGCCACTTTTTGGTACTGGCTTCTCTGTTTCTCTCTCTCCCCTCTTAGGCCTTAGTCATTGTCATTATATTTCTAATTTTATGTCTAGAGTATCATACTAGTGTTTAGTGTTATCAGCTCATACATAAATATGCATAGTTGTATACACTATATTTACACTTATCCATCTCTCTCTCTCTCTTTTTTTTTTTAACATGCTTCAAATGTAAAGTGATATGTATGTCAGCAAACCTGGCAAATTAAGCGAGCTGAATGGAGGATGCAAGAAGATTAGCCGTAAGAACTGACATCAAATATGATGGAACTAATGTCAGGAGGCAAGGTGTTTAAGTATGCAGAATCCCAGACATAATAAAAAGGGGATAAGAATATAGGGATCTGTTTCTTACAATGAACCAGTGATCTGTTCAATAAGTGGACAAGAGGGCAGGGAGCTGTCCTT